CCTAAACAAGAATGTTTAACAGCGGGCGTGAAGAGACACAGACCTGACCCACAAGGAACTGATGTAGATATGGTTGAAATTATTGCCAGCTGTGATTGGGCTTCAGTCTATCAGAAAGATAAGTGACATGAATACGGTAATAAAGAGGTTCTTCTGGACTCATTTTATCTTAAGGTTTGGGTTTATTATGTTTTATGCAAAATAAACAAAACAAACAAACAGTGGGACTGAAGAAGCTGAGAATCAGACTAAATGACAAGGAGCTTAGAAACTCACAGGTATTATGTCAAAAATACATTAATATTTAATTGTGGAACCAGCTGCTTATTGCAGGTCCCTTGAACAAGTTTTATCATGTATCCATCCTGATGTAACCAGCAGCTCTGGAGCTTCTGGATCCTGGACTTAGTTTGTTTTATAGGAAAACCTGAACTTCACTTAAAAACACATGAACTCTGTCCAGCTTTTGCTGATTTCTCACAGATACTTTTCTGGGTCTGATTACAAGATATATCAAACCAGGTCCTCAGATCAGCAACCTTCTTTTGCAACCCCATCCTCACACAGTCAGCATCTTTAACATGTCCATAGCTTAGGTCGTCTGGTTGTTCACTCCTCCAAAAAGTCAAACTAAGTCATGAATAACAGAAAAACAGAGATAAGTAGGCTTAACAGTCCCCAATAAAATACATACTTTCAACTGCAACAAACCTTTCGTTCAGACGTGATCCATCCACCCAAAACCATCTGCCTTCTATCTCTGAGTCCGTCAGTCCGATCCAGAACATATCCTCATCTCTCTTCATCAAGTCTCTCACTCTGATGTTCAGGAACATCTGAATAGAAGAAGATTATGATGATAACTTTGTTAGACTTTTCTGAGCTGAGTTAGAGCATGAAGCTGCAGCAGTGTTTCATACCTGCTCCTCTTTGCTGTCTATCTTCACCAGGTCTCCTCCCAGATCTCTGCAGGAATCTCTGCTCTCATTCCAGTTGGATGTATTGCTCGAGAAATAATAACAGTTTCCTCCATGTAGCTCCCAGCCTGCTTCAAATTTTAAAAATTTCT